TTTTTATAAAAATTGATGAAATATATAATTAAAAAATTGTGAATTTCGAGTTCGATACCAAAGAATGATTTTAGGTCGTTCGAGTCGGTGTTGAAATGCCATTTGATTTGAGGAGATTGACGACATTAGAGAGTGATGGAAGTTTTCTGACGAGATAATGCTTGTTTGACCTTGACTTCTGCTTTTAATATATGAAAGCTAAACTCTAAAAGAACTTTCCCTTCCTGAAAACTTTTAAACAAAGCTCATTGAACCAATTTCTTCTAAGAATTTTTATAAATAGAAGAAACATTTTTATAAAATTAATCAAACGAGATCTAAAAGCTACTTTTGGAACTCAATTTAAAACTATTTAAAACTCTATTTTTCGAAATAATGGCTATTAAACAGGGGCTAAAACTTGTCTGAACTGAAATATTGACTTATATATTGTTAGTCAAGATTATTTATCGAAAGTATTGATAGATGTGATGGTTCTCCCATATGTACGGAGATGAAAGGGGACACGCTTCTTCAGTTTTAGGTGCATTTGCTTGTCACGTTATTTTGGAACCTTAAGTGGACATCGACACACTGCTACCACATTCTTAATTTTTAAGATCAACTATGTCCGGCTAAATTCCGTCCCACATTATTGTAGAAAGTTGTTACTAAACTCTAAAATCTAAATAAGGTCAAGAACCTTCTATACATATATGATTTGTTCAGCACTAGTTCAATCGTGCTAGTCTTTGATTTTTCTAGTTTTTCGTAGCATGATCTATACCTTCACTAATGTTCTCTGGGCATGGTTTTGACCTCATCCTCTTGGTCTTGGGCTCAGTTTAAGCCCTTGTTTGCCCCCATTATATCACATTCCATTACATTAATTTTTTTTCTCTCTTCATCTCAACCATCCATTCATCAAATAACATAATAATACACACAAATCAAAATATTTTCAACCACACATCTCCCATTAATCACTATTCTAAAAATTATCTACCCCCAAAATTTAAATTAATGGGGGGCAAACAGGGGCTAAGAAATATGTTTACAATATTTTGCCAAACATGTCCTTAGTCAATGTTACATCATCATGAGATCACAAAAAAAAATTTAAAAAAAAAAAGTTAAAATGGCCTTTCCCAAAGACTAAAGAGGCTTGTGCTTTGTTAAAAACCAACTCAAACGGTTAGTTAGGCAACTTTGACTTTCTTTTATTGCCATAAACAACTTTAAATCGAATTCTTCATAGCGCAAATCGCGTCTGAATTATAGCCAAAAGCCTTGCAACTAACTTATCGTACAAGTCTACCTCTCTTTGCACTGCTGTGGACCATACATGAACCGTCTCTATTAAATGTTTATCAAATTCATTAATGCTTACACAAATTTTAATAGTTTTTTCAACCGTTCAAATTTCAAATCATACATTTAGTCGTCATTCGTTCGATAGGAATTACAATCAGATTTTTAGTAAATTTTAATAAAAGTCTATGAAATATATAGTTGAAAAGTTGTTGGTCCTTTAAAATATGTTGTTAATCTTAATTATTGGTTTTGATTTAAATTAAAATCTGAATTTTATTTTTTACCAAACAGAGATTTATTGAGATTTAAATTTTAGAACAACATATTCCTTCCGTCCCATTTATATAAACTACCATTTTTTTTTGTCTCATTTATATAGTCATTTTTCTTTATTGAGAATGTTTTGTTCGGTTTATTTACTAATATACCCTTATTTCTTTACTACTAACAACAATTTACTCTGGTTGTTGATAATTAAATAACGATAAGCTAAGGCTGTGTCTGTTTCTGATTTTTAGCCATTATCTGATCGTTGCCATGGGTTCCAGCCGTAATAGTTGACTGTCTCTCTCTCATGTGAGGCCCTCATGAATAAGGTAACAGTCAATTTTGTAATTTTAATCTGCAAAAAATCAGAATCAGACACAGCCTAAAAATGTTTTTGGTAAAAATTAATTTTTCAATGAATAAGATTTATTTTATCAAAAGCTTTACCAACAATCCCAAAGTCGGTTGAATAAGTGTACGCGTGTATGTTTACACAACTGTTTTTCACTTTCATCATTTGAGCCGTGAAGTTGGTATTATTGACTTTGATTTGTCCCTTTAAAGCTTTGAAGTTGTAATCAACAAAACTTGTAAAGGTAGCAACTTTTTCATTTAAAATATAGATATTCCCATTCTCGGCCCATCTGGAAGCTAACTTTTTTGTACTACTTATCTATAAAGATTTCTTAAAGCCTAAGTTTCAAGAGAAAACCGTCCTTTCAAGTTTCATGGGCTATATATTAGCTTTCTGAATTCCATTTTCCATGCACATGATCATGGATCATACAGATTTTGATGAAGATCAGGTTTCAATCACAGTCGATTCGGAATGCGAATCGTCGAATCCCGACTTCGAGAAATTCAAGTTTTTCTCTGGCGATGGGATGATCAGATTGGACGAGGCGAAAGATGAGCACTGTGTAATCAAGAAAAGCTTTTTAACGGGAATGGGATTGCTTGGGAAGGAGAGTGATGTTGTTGCTATACATAAAAACTTGTATTCGAGTCGAACCGGGCTGGTGAGGATGGAGGCGTTCCGTATTTTCTCAGCCGCCGTGGCAGAGAAATGCGGCGGAGACGCCAATGTCAAGTATGCATGGTACGGTGGTTCTAGAGATGAAGTGTGTGGAATAATAGATCATGGATTTAGTAGATGCAAAGAGCCTCAAAATGGTGTATCATATGGTGTTGGCATCCACTTGTCTCCAACTAATGCTGCTCTTGATAGGTAACCATAATATTTTCAGCATTTAATTTCCTAAAAAAATAATATTTATTTTTTTGTTCAAATTTCTTGCATTTCAAATTTTATTTGCAATAGCAATTTAATTTTACCATAATGACTTAGCTCCCATTTGATTTTCATTTTCTAAAATTCAATTTCAACATCACATTTCATGAAATCCACGATTTGAAACTTAGATTTGTAGTATAACACAGATATCTATTTCGATAAATATGATATAATGTGTAAAAAACGCTTATCCATCAATTCTTGAATCTATCCACAAAAGAATATATCCATCAATTCATGAATCTATCCATCTATTTCGATAACTATGCTCGTAGAAAAGAATCTATCCATCAATTCTTGAATCTCTTTATTCAATTGTTCCTTCTCCTTTCTTATCTTCTAAGATCACCAACTCTACATGAGATTTCTTCAACCAACCTCCTATATGTACCATACTCTTTTGTGTATCTCGAGAAGGAGGTCCTTCTTATGATGCTATAGTTGTCTTTTTTGAAAGTGTAAGGGATAATTATATTTCATCAACTTATATCAAAATTTAATTTAAAATATGATTTTTAGACATAAAGATTGATTGAGTTGTCTAGAGACATGCCAATTTCAATGACCCGACCGAGCTCATCTTATAAAAGTCGTGGTAACCTAGCTTTACTTTTATCAATTTTTAAAAAAAAAAAATTTTGGTGGAAAATTCAAAAATTAGGCACTAGTGGAACCAATTCGATGCGTTAAGTCACAGTCGTTGAGGTCTCGGGCAATTCACGAATGGTCCGATCATATTCACTTCGTGCATCTATGTTATAGATAAGTTGACGTAATTGAAAAAAAAAAATTTGTGTAGTCGAATTTTAAATTTATATCTAAAATAATACTATGAGTTTTAATTTTTAATTTTTTTTATTTTGCAGTGCAATGTTGGCGGAGGAGGACGAAAATGGATTAAGGCATATGTTGCTGTGTCGTGTAATATTGGGTAAATCGGAAGTGGTTCGTGCCGGTTCAGGACAGTTTGAACCGAGTTCAGAAAATTTTGACTCGGGAATTGATAATCCATTGGCACCCAAGAAATACATAATTTGGAGAGCTTACATGAATTCTCATATTTTCCCCAATTATATTATCAGTTTTAGGACCCCAAAGAATTATTATTATTATTATAAGAAACCCAAGTCGCCAAACATGAAGTTTCCTATGCTCTTCAATATTCTTTCCAACTTTCTAGATTCTTCCAAAATGAAGTTGATTTCCAGATACTACAAGGATTTTCGGGTAAGTGTCTTTTCTTAACTCGCGAATTTTCATTTACATACGTTTATATGCGGCAGTGTAAACGTAGGTTGAAGTGCCCAAGTTTAGCACAATCTTCAACAGGTAAAAAGTCAAAATAAATAAATAGTTTCTCAAACTAAGAAGTTGATTAGTACCTAAGTTTAGCACAATCTTCATTAGGGTTCAACCAAATGGAGACTTTTAAAAGGTCAAAAAAATTTATTTCTGAAATTAAGAAATTACTTTAAATTTGTTCAAATAATTTTTTAAAAATATTTTTCTTGACTAAAAAAAATTTCGGAGAAAGCTAGACCTCGAAAGTTCATTTCAAAAAAGTTAAAAGTAAAAGCAGAAATCTTATTAAATGGGCTTACCCGTTTACGATCATAGCCTTGTCGGATTCCTCAATTTTTTTGAGGGCCTCAGGCTAGACTAACTACAGCTACATACCGACAATTCTTGTTCCATTATCACGACAATTGTGGGTACCTAGGGAGGCCCAACTCGTGCTCGACTTTTAAGTTTTGATGCATGGACCTAACCTACCTTGTTCGACCTATCAAAAAAGTGTGGATTATATTGGTTCACCATTGAAGTAGGTCGATTCATTTTAAGCGCAAAGTAGGTAAGTTTGAGTAATGAGTGAATGGTTGAAGAAAATTGACTTGAGTCTTATCTAGAACAACACACTAAAAATAACTTTAATCTTTTCATTATTATAATTTTGGACCTAAGTTTCTTTTTGTGGTTGGTGAACAGGAAAACAAGATTAATCGATCGCTGCTGATACGAAGACTAAGGCAATTAATTGGAGACAGGTTGTTAATATCAGTTATTAAATTGTGCAGACACAAAGTATAACTTGGATTTGTGGTGTTTTCAATTGTTGTCATTTGTTTACTTCAAATCACAAATGTGTGTTGAATTTGCAAATTAGATAGAATTAAAGAAGATCAATGAATTACCTTCCCCTCTCTTATTCATTTAATTACAATTTGAATGTAAATTGTTAGTAGAATGAAACACAAATGAGATTAAAATCTTATGTTGTGTGGTAACAAAAATATTGATTTTAAATTTATAAGAACATGATTTGATCCCAAAAATGGTATTTAATTCGGCGAAGCTGTCAAACTAATTGTCTCGACTTGAAACACATTTGGTTTGGGTATCTTAACAAAACCTAACCGATTTTTATTTTGTTTTATATGAGAATTAATCTGGTCGAGTTGGGTTTCAGATTTAGTATTAAAATCAAATCCAATACCACCACCATTGTTTTAAAATAAACTTCACTTGGAATTGAAAAATCCCGACTGAATACCAAAGACCTAAATCCAACTCCAAACCTTATATCTCGAATTTCTCCTCTTTCCTCACACCCACACTTTCTCAATCTCCGCCACCAAGCCCACAATGCCACCATCTCTTGCTAGAATTGAAGCTATCATGCATCGTCGCCTCTTCTTTGGTAGGGATCGCACCATGCCACATTGATTAAATAGATAATTTGTTTAAAAGGTGCATTTTATTTTTATGTTAGCATTTGAATTAGCCTCATTTTTAAAATATTTTTTTCAAAATAATTTTCAACTGCACGTTCTCTCAACAAAATAATATTTTTATGTAAACTCAAAATTTTTATTATTTAAAAAAAAAACACATTTTATAAATTTTTTTGTCAAGATATGGGGCTCCAAAAGGGTCTAGAATTGTCTTAATTAAGGGTGGACGTTTGGCCCACAAATCAGGTAAAAAGTCAAAAAGAGACTAAAAATTAAACTTGACATAAACGACACATGTCATCATTTAAATGAGTGATTGTACCGTGTAGGTATCTATGGACTATGATCATCTTATCATAAACTTTTCTCTAATTTTCTCAAAACCCTAAAAAAAATTTGGCTTCCTCCCTTGTCTTTCCCCCCATTTCTCATAGAGTTGAGATCAGTTGTTTAATTTTTATTGTCCAACTTGCCATCAATTCATTTAATTATTGACATATCATTTTAAAATAATATGTCATCTCAAATTTAGCCTCAATAACTTCATCAATAATCCACAAAATTGATGACATATTAATTTAAACTGACGTGTCAATAATTAATTGAATGAACATCAAATTTGATAGCAAAAGTCGGACAGTAAATCTTTTTCTTCGTAGGCCATTTGTGGCATGCGAGAAGGACTTGTGCAGCTGCAGCGGGATTTGAGACAGGGAAGGGATATAACTCAGCGGTAAAGTATCATCTTTCTCATATTATAACCATCTAACACACTCGCGATTCGCCCAAAATCACATTCGCAAAGCTTTTGGAATAAACGAGTCCATTGTAAAAGTGAAGAAGAACCATAAGAGTAATGGACCGAGCTGGGTGTACCGGTCAGGGTGACAAACACCCTGACCGGCCCCTCACATCGGGGGGCCCCCCATATTTTTTTTCCCAATTTTTTATTCATGTGGGGTCGGCTCATGTGAGAGTTTGTAAACCTTTTTGTCAAATTTTTTTTGTACAAGTAGCTTTATTGAAGGGTAATACAAACATGTCAAACCAATTTAGTGGCCTTTAAAGTAAAATAATTTTAGTAGGCAAAACATGACCTACTACGGGAATTATTTTGTTCGAGGGATGTGAATTTTCATCCCTGTAGTTACCAAGTCACCACTTGAGATTCATTTGGAAAATAGAACATGGTAGGCTGAATCGTCATCTGGGGCACATGCTCGTGCCTATATAATACAATATGCTCATATCTAATACAACAGTCCTGCTATAGGAACATACACGATGACAAATTTTTAAAGAAACGGACTCTTGACAAATTCTTATTGGAAGTTAAAAAATAAAACAAAACACTGCCAATCAGGGGCTGACATTTCAGCCACTGGAACAGGCTCATATCGCTAAGCTTGTTCAACGGGCTTAATTGACAATACAATATGCCTCTATTTAGTTCTAATCATACATTTTATGAAATTTACAACTCTTCAATCGTACATTTCATAAATTTTTATTAAAATTTACAAAAAAATTAATTTTTATCCATACCAAAAAGGGTCCACAACAATCATAATAAATTTGATTTTTTTCTACTCATTTTAATTCATTGCTACATGTTTTATGAATCACTCAAACGAAATGGGTATGAAAAATATTATACGAATTGACAAGAGAATTTGTTTAAAAGCAGATTTACTTATAAGTAGAAAAGTAAGTTTTTGAATAAAGAATTTTAAATAGTTAAAGTTGAAGTAACTAAAAGTACAAGGGTATATCGGCAATTAAATGACTATCCGATTTTTCATCTATTTAAGATTGGATTCCAAGTGCAATATGCGCGGGAAAACACACACACTTTGCTCGTCATACACATTCAATGGAAGTTAATTCAGTGCAAAATCTCTGTAATTACGTGAGTTCCAAGCTCTAAATTTTACTCGATTTGAGCTTCACAAAACCTAATTAATTATTTTTTTCTTTTATTTTTGCAATTTTGATCTTTTAACCTTTTTGTTGCAGTTAATTACCTGTGCAATTCGAAGATGCCGCATATCTGAAGATTTTTGCAGATTATCGATTTCTGTGAAATCTTCTCCTCAATCCACTACGCCACTTCTTTGGATCTCAGGTACACTCACATGAGCGTGCATGAATCTCATGAATTATGCATTATGGTGAAATAATTTATTAACATATCATTCTGTCGAATAATTTCCGTGTATATATCATGTTATCTGTTGATTTAGATTGCTTTGTGTATATAGATTTGTTCTTCAGTAAAATTGTGCTGAGAGCTCGAAAAATGTGTTGCTTTTTGCTCTTATTTTTTAATCTTTGATTCTGAATTGCTTGTATTTTTCTGCTATTTCTGAATCCATATTCTTTATCGGCAAATTGTTATTTGAATTAGAGATGGGTGTAATTTTAATTTACTAAATGAATAGAGTGTGTATGTTGACCTCTTCCATTTATGATTTCCCAGACTAAAAGGAAAAATGGTTACATTGTTAGAATTTGAAAATATGACTTGTTCAGAAGTCGAGAGCTGGAATTTTACAGTACTGAATGAACTTTTTGTTGGTTTTCCACTTGACAGTGTCTGATACGGGTGTTGGAAGCACCCTTGAGGAATTTCTAGGATTAAAATTTGCCAACGATCCCATTGTGGCTGATAAATGGGGTAAGTAAAGCTATTTTCCATGTTCACGACATAAATTACAAGCTAATATCTCTGCATGAAATTTGGAATCAATGTACCATAATTTTCTGCAAGCTCAGACAATAAGAATTTTTACTTGATTACAATACAATATCCAGGACATGGAAGCTGATATCTTAAACCTTTTAAATAGATAGGAAAGTATTACAACTTGCTATCCACAAAGAGTCAAAGACAAAGTGGTTCAAATCTGTAGTAGATACTGTATCGCAGTGATATATCGCAGTTTTTCATTTACTGCTGGAACAATTGACTTCTGTGACTAATTCTTTGGAATAAACATTATACTCACGTGGACCTCTCTTTGGTGTTATTATATCACAAGTTCCTATTTTTCCATTGCATTTTTCATTTCTCTATTTGATACCCCAATTTACGTGTTGACATCTTTAAACTATTTTATGCACTTAAGATATCTGATGCATTACTAGGTTATGTTCACAAATCACCAGCATATAATATGATCTCTTGTTCTCCACACGTTTAGGTCTTTTATTTTAAAACATTATTTGATTTGATGTGGTTCTCATATCAAGAAATATGATCTTACTAAATGTCTCGGCTGTCTCTGGTAGTGGTGGTGGTGGTCTTTTCACTTGTTATCCACTTTTGTTTTTCAGCCTTTTGCTTTCGTTTTTCTCCTTTTGTTCTTTCTTCTCTGTGGTGGCGTGCTGCGGGGGGATTGAGTGGGTTCTGGATGGTTATCCACAGTCTTGATTAGCATTTTTATGATTGTGATAGAAGATTATGAACCAAAAGAAAGGAGGAGTGAAATCCATACTTGATCTTTGTGTCCAATTTCCTGTTCTCTAATAATGCAACTGGTTTATCAACAATTTTACTTCTAGTTGATAGTGAATTCTTTACTGTTGTTGAGTGTTCCAGTAAAATTTATAGACAACACTCTGCACTTATGATCCATCGGTTTTCTGACAATTGGTACCGTTGACGATGCAGATGGAGTGATTTGTGTTGCTACCACCAGTAAGTTCTCTTCTAGGGTGATTTTTTTAATTTCATTTAACCTCATATATCCATTCTGCAAGCTGAACATTTTGTTAGTTTTGTCAGCATATAAGCTAACTATGTTTTACTTGCATGAAAGTGGGAATATTTTCCAACAGTTTCCTGTGCTGCAAATGCCATATGAGAGCCTAGATTATGTTTTTCAAATAGTGTTGATTACGTGGATGTAAATGCTAGTGTGTGATAGTTTGAATAATTCTTACAACTATAGGGTCATACTCAGATTGGAATCGATCGCATATGTCAATGTTACATATTGATAATTAAGCCTTCGTGTTCTTTTCTCATTTATTATGGGTTAGCGTATCAATTTTTTTCAGTAAATCGAGGATAACTTTACCCAGTGTAAGGTGTATATATATACCTTACACTGGGTAAATTTCCTTTTGGATTATCTTTAGGAACAGTACAATTTATGAGACAAAAGAAAAGGAATAATATAATAAAAGACATGTATTTCAAAAATTTAAAGCGCTTTTCTATTTAATTAAAAAGGAACCTAGGAACGAGGAGTAAATCTCGTGGTTTGATCCTCCATTTTCATCAATTTTACATGTTTTCTTACTGAAGGCATATCTGATAAAGAGATACATCACTTCAAAGTAAACCTGACAGAAACTGATTCCTCAAGAAGGATGACAAAACTACATTCCGTAACAAAGAATGGTGCAAAATTCAGGCATGCTATTCCTTCCAACTTTTTCTCACTGATATGGAAGACTGTTCTGCTGCTATTGATCTAACTGTTTTGTTTTGCTTTTTTACTTTCTTTTGCAGCGGAACTGAAGTATCATTATGGATATCTGAAAATATTGATGATTTACTGAGAGATATAACTTTTTTTCTCCGTAAGGTTGGATTCTTCGTTTATTTTTATTGTTCAAGCCACAGTTCTCACGTTCTGTATCTGGTTCCCGGTGGCTAGTTAGTTCATTTAGTTGTTGACTTTTAATTCCTTTTCATGACTGTTTCTGCAGATGCTCGTGCTGAAAGCTCCTGTAAGTTCATATGAACTTTTTAGATTCTCTATGTTAATTCTTCCCACAATTCCTGCTTTGAAAAATGTTCTTACCAGTGATTTCTTTTTCTTGAAACTGCTCTGTAAGTGTTTCAGTTTACTTATATTTACCTGATTGACTGATTCTGTATAGCATGAATTCTTTTAAACACTTTGGTGTACTCACGTCATACATCATACACTTGGGTATCAGGAGCTATGGGCATGTCAAATAATTTAAACTAATTTTCTATATAAAACATATATCCAACTATGTTCATGTTTTGTTCACCAACATTAAATGAGTTCTTTTCCCATTTTAATCACTTCAATGAAAGAGCATTATAACTCGTTAAATAATGATAACAGGTTGAAATATATGGATTTCTCATACACAAGCCTGCGATTCATATATTGTTAGTGTCTGCACCATCGAGAATTATTCAAGTTTATTGAAGAATAAGGTTTATCTATATTTTCTTTCTTTGCAAAAAACGGTTTTTAGCTATGACAAAAGTCCCTTCTTTTGGCACATATATGATCATAATGATGCTTGAGTTGCAAATTATTAGATTGCACTGTTTCCAGACCATTGCCAAGTTTATTGCTGCTGACTAGTTGATCATTTTCTATTCTCTCCAGAAGATTGCAATTGAGTTATTGGTTGATTCTGGTGGCAATTTAGGGTCACAGTGTGAAAGTCATATACTTCAACTTGCTTCCAGTTCTTTACCTTCATCTGCACCAAATATTGACCAGCTGAAGTCTGGCTTTGAAGAATATGTTTCTAAGCATGGTAATATACTGAATGACGTTTGCCACCGTTGCTTCTCAACTGGGTGAGTTCTCACTTGCAGATTTCACTTTCTTTTGTAATTTATTAGATTGGTATATCTTTGCATTGCATTTATTTCATGTTGATATATATCTGTAGGACACTAAGTGCTTCAGAAACTGACACTAAGAAAAAAAGTTATAGGTTCTTTATATTCCATATAAGAATTATTCCTTTTCTCCATCTCCATTTGATAGCTCCTGTAGAGCCATTGTTTGTCATTATTCATTCACTGCATTCAAACATCTCTTCATTTGGTACATTTTTTAACCTCACCTCATGTAGGAGCTGTAATGGTTGGCTCCATTCTACTTAATCCATCCTTATATGTTATCTTATCATTCAGGACATTTAAAGTGCAAGCTTAGTGAAGAATTACATTGGCGTGGATTACAAAACATGTATAATTACTGCAAAAGTTACTTCTTTATACTTTGTTGCTGTATAGACAACACACATCTGCATTATTAAGGTTATTAGTCATTAAAAGTTTCACGTGCCAGTTTAAAGTTTTAGATTTTATCATATCATCTTTGATATTATCTGTTATCGAATTGGCATTTTATTTGGTGAATAGCTCCAGGGAGTATCTAAAAGTTGGCAGCGGAGTAGCATGTAGCACTGGAAACCAACGAAGTAATGGACAGGTGATGGAAGTCGTGATTATTGTTAGTGAAATACCAGAGACAACCCAATCCTCCTGCTTCAGGGCCTATGATAAGAAAACAGAGGTTTGTTCTTGGTAACGGAGCAATAGCTTTCGTATTTAATAAAATGCTAGTTGTATAGTCATCTATTCTATACCACAATAGGAACAAGAAGATTTAATCGGAAATATCCACAAATTCTTTTGAAGTCCAAAGAATTTTCACTACCAAATGTCTGCTGCAAGTTTCCTGAAGTCTGATCAAGGAATCTACTTGGTAGTTTTGTATGCTCATGTCTATAACTTAAATCAAAGCTGAAATCATTACAGCACTGAGCTACTTCATACCTCCTCTTTGCCATTGCATGTATGCTTTCGATTCATTGGTACCTAATAATGTTTGTTTGACCAGATGGTTGTGAAAACCTGGTCAATATGATCAATTTGAAAATGAACAGAAACTAAAATAAGTAAATTGCTATAGTTTCCTTGTCAAGAACTTGTTAAGAAACCTTATTTTCTCCCATCCTAGTGAGGAAAAAGATATGATGGTATACAAGTAAATATACAAGTAAATATATTGAACTATATGGGCTTGAATATTTGAACTTTACTATATCGATATTACTACTTTTGTTCTTCTTATTTTCCTGGTTTGGTTGCTGCTAATGGTTCTTACTCCTTACCAAGTATAATAAAAGTAAATTATCTTCATGTGTATCTGTACTTCTTGATTGATCTTTAATTTCTCTGTCTAGATCCTGTATTTCAAGGACTACTCACCTTGTTCAATTTCACAATCATCTCTTGATGCATTAACAAGCATCAAATGGAAAGATTATGGATTAACTTTAAGGAGCATTGCAGTTCAAGATGGGTGCACATTATTAGAATGGCAGAACTTGCCACCATTTGCCCACATTGACATTGTCCTCCACAGTTACCACAAACAATATCCCATTCTATTATAATGAATGCAATCTGTCACAATCTCTTAATTTCTTCAGATATCCGACTACAGTGACAGGCTTTTACTTGTAGCTTCTAAAATGCATATATGTTTCCTTGTATCTGTTCCTTAACTTGCTGCCACGGTCTTGATACTGCCTTGCAAAGAAAGCAGCCAAGTTGATCAAAGTCTTACCAGAAAAGCTGTCAAGCTTGCATTGAATGAACTGAAGGAAAAGAACGGAGGAGTTCTACTCAGTGAACGTGCACTTAAGGTAGAATGAAGTAGTCTAGCTGCTTAAAAATACTAAATATTTAGGATCAAGCTAGGAAAATCTTTCAGGAGTGTTCTCAAAGCAGATCTCTTATTAGTCAGTTTTTGTGCATCTCTTTCAAGGTTATTTATATAAATATGTAGATAAAATGTCTATGGTGCAATCATATTTGCGATTTCCCAAAAACACATTGTAAGTAATGCCTAAAGAAAACCTAAAATATTTTAATAAATACCATCAACATTACTTGATTCACTTCAAATATTATGTCTTCATTTCTGGTTTCATGGATGACAGCCTGTTTAATGATAAGACAAAAAATATCGTTATCCACAAAATACAGTGTGGTTCATCATTGCATTAATATTAGTCTAAAGCACAAATTGGACTTTCTTTAGTTTATTTTTACTGTATTCCAACACCGTAATTGCTGGAGTTTTCAATGATTAATAGCAACTAACAAATTTTCTCCTGACACGATGAGTATGTCATCTGAAACCAGGGTTCTTTTAGCCTTTTGGTACTAGTAAATTCTATGGTTTAGGCACGGAATGGTTGATGTTTGTTAATTTCTTTCAAATGAACTATTAGAAAACTTAAAACTATGCTGGAATTAACACATCTGGCCATTTCACCCTCAAAAGTTGAAAGAAAATTATGCCACTAGAAAAAGGTTAGATGTGGATCCTTTTTCTACTCAGTATATATAGATTGTTCATGATAAAAGACGAACCTCTTTTAAACTTGAATGTATTCTATCTCTTTCCCATAAATTTGTCCCTGAGGTTTTGCAATCTGTTTTCATTCCTCAGATTTGCAATTATGCACCCGATCTTGCCAAAACAATTGCTGGTCTGATCTTGTCTTCACATGACTTGAGTTTCAAAGGAGAGTGCATTTCTCTTCTTGGATTGCAGTTTCAAGAAATCACAAGAAATGTTGTCGAGGATTGCATCAAAGAGAAGATAATTTCTGCCATAGGGTTAAATGACATTAAGCCTCAAAGAACCAGAGAAGCTGCATCTTTTCTTTTTGACGATGAAGTAATCCAGGAACTAGATACCCTAGACGAGGAATATGAAGAATGTGAGGAAGCTTTTGGTTCTTGAGATCTGCAAGTGTTCTTAGTCATGCATTATTTGAATTTGACCGTGTTGGTTGTAACATACTCATTTTTTGGAGGGCTACATAATTTCAAAAGTGACTTGCACTGGATTGGATTGTGCTTTATGCTTATTACGTTGAAGTGTGAAAATTCAGTTTTAGCATACTGATGTTCTTAAGTCTCTGTTGCTTAAGCCTTTGATCGGTTAATCCTATTTTGATGCGGTGCTCTGGAAGGGTCCATTTTACGATTGATTGCTTTCCAGTTGCTGTGTCTGATGCAATTGGTACTCACTAAGCCAATTATGTATTATGAAGTGTTTCAGTTGGTAAGCATTAATATTTGTTCAATTAGACATTTCATAGAGTTCGTGGGGTACGAGGATAGGTTGGAGGACAGATTCGAACAAAAGTCTAATCTGTAACAAAGAGTCCTTTTATCATAATGATAGATTTTTATAATAGTTGCAAGGAAAAAAACTTGCTCATTTCTTGATTTGCTGCTAGATATATATGATTAGATCAAAATCATACAGCAACAAACTATATATGATTATTGTTCAGTCGCACACAATTATAAAGATAAATTCTTTCTTTTATGCAGCAGAAGGAGCAGGAATGTAGGATCCTGCAGGCTCAGGCACTGCATCCATGATTGATGGTATTGAGAAGGTATTTTCCTCTGAAACTTCATATTCTTCAGCATTAAAATCAAGAGATGCATCATTATAAATGTCCCACCATTTATTGACTAGCATCTTGATGTCTTCTCTCTCCATGTTGGCTTCTTTGCCTGTGTACCTCCACGGCTTTGATCCCTGTTAGGAAATTAAACCATGTTAGTGAAATATAGTTTTATACGAGTATTAATAAGCCCCCTATGGCTTGTCGAGAAAGGTGGACTGTGCAGTTACCAAGCTGCACGTATTGAACAATATTAAGTGTATGGTTGACTAAGCTTAGAAAATTTAGTTTAAAGAAAATCTCCATATTAGTCAGTAAGTAATATTTTGGAATAAAGCAATAGTTTTTGAAAGTGAATTACTTATTCTGGAAGTAGCACGTATAGGAAAATACGTAATTTTTTACTAATTAGAAAAAATTAACAATTTTCAAGGAAGTTTGAAATAAGAAATTACTTAAAAGTAACTTTTAAGCTTGGCTAAAAAGAAGTTTTAAGTTCTTGTTCATTACACTATCTAACACTACATACAAATACGCACTCATATCTAGAACAGGAAAAGTTTCACGATAGTAATCACTTACAGCAGCACAGTAGTGAACAACTTTGACTTTATCGAGTTCGACATTTTCAGGATGGCGCCATAGCAGAGCAAGAACCAGGTTATAAACCAGTGGAATGGGTTTGTAGGTTTGTTGGAAGAACATATTCAAGAAGTCCTGTCATTTACAAGTAAAACAATTAGAATCTCAGTTCAAAAAATCTTACTACATCTCCCTGCTTAAACGGTTTCATTAGTTCTTCAACCAAATTTTATATAGCAATTGGACCGCATAAGAATGTTAGCCGTGTGACACTCGAACCTGGTGGTTTGTTTGGTGAGGTGTAAGGTTCAATACCAGGCAATTTTATTAGTAGTTGTATTATCTAGTACTGCGTAACAAACATGCTTAACAGAATATGTATTGTCTAGTATTACATACCAAACATGTCTAGAAGAATAGGTGCATTTATAAATTTACTAACTGAGGACTCACATAATATGTAAGCAATCTGAACTGAAACCCTAATATAGCTCCTAACATCGAACTGTTTATATACTCGATATTGGCCATTGGGGAGTCATCTAAGTAGCTAGCTGAATACCCTTTTTAGCATAATCGCTTTTCTAAGGTTCTGGGAAATCCCAAATTTGATTGAAGCGTTTGATATTGTGTAAAAATACAAACACAAACACAGACACAGCTCACCTGCTCTGCAAATGGTGTTGGTGGAGTAACAGTGAGAGTTTGAAGAAGATTTTCATACGTGAGTCTGTTTGGCTCAAACACAAACATCCCAGCATTGAAATACAATGGAGGAGGTGAACCCATTTCAGCAGGCCATTTAACCTTATCTGGACACTGTTGGCAATACCCAATGGAGTACTGTGGGGAGTGACTCCATGTCTTCTCGCAGAAGCAATCCATTACAGCATAGAAGTAACCGTTGGGTGTGTCCAAGAGATGGTCTAGGTTGTCATAGACTTGGATGTCTGCATCGAGGTATACCATCTTGTTGTACTCCTCGAACTGTATTATTAATGAGAAAAAATGATAAAGGTTAGGTGATTACGGTGGTTGTCAGTAAGATGATATATTGAAAATTCGTATGTTAAGATGGAAGTGGATTGTACTAAAACGAAAAGACAAGAAATGAGAATATACAAATATCAAGTGGATGTGCTGCTGATTGAGAATAAATTAAGGAAGAATGACTTAGGTGGTAATTGAGACCTTTATTTGACTGAAAGAGGCCTCATTTTATAAAGGTGGCGGTTATCTTGGTAGAACATGAGAGGTAGACCAATGCTTGGTTTCTTGTAGTTGTTATGCTATAAGTCTTCCATTAATTCTAGTAATGGACCAAATGGAGTACTCTCAAAAATGCAATTGAACTCGTGTTAACACAGACGCGCACACGCACTAAATGGTCTAATTAATTTCAAATGGTGCACTGTGTCCTCACCTTGGTTAATGCTTTCCAAGAACATATGCATATATTCATCAATAACTTAAATGGTATGGCTAAGAAATCTATGCATATTAACGTATACAAATGCATGTTTTGTAACATGCATTCTACAATGGAATTAAGGAAGCAAAAGAAGCTTTGTTCAATATTTCGTATCGGACAAGATCTCAGACTATTCTAGGAAAGTAGAATCTTAACTTGTGATCTAGACTAGAAAAAGAAGAATAAGATGCTTAAACATGCATGCATAAATAAAAAACCTAGTACCGTCATCAATAACGATAGTTTATAATCTATACTTACATTCCATATACGGAGCTTAGAATAATTGATGATGTAATAGGCCATTGCAAACTGAATCTGGTTATCAGGTGGATAAATAGGGTCGATTTCTCGAACAATACAACCTTGTAACCTTAAAATCTCACGATGTTCCTCAGGCACATCAGGTAAAATTGCCACCACGAGAGGGTAAGCACTTTTCACCTTTCTCAACCCTTTAGCCAAACCAACCACTCCCTTGTAGTAATCACCAGTGCCAGCCAAGAATGTCACATAAGCCCGACTTGAGTCTTTCGGAGCCATCGATACCTTCCCAGTGCCAATGAAGGCATCTTTAGCTAATTCTGGGGCCATTTCTTTTGATCTTAGAATGTGTATTCAAAATTCACAAGGATTTTGGTTCTTATGCTTTGATTGGAAACTTTGGCCCTCCTTATATAGGCCTCCGATGAGATTGACATTCATGCATGTTAAATGAACTTCAAATGAAATTCAAATTAAATATCATAAAATATTTTTGGTTTTCTTTCTTTTTTCCTTTTTTTTTTATGCATTTTGTGTAAGGTCGTGGGTCATGTATGGAATTACGATATTTGTTCCTTCGTCTTACAATTCATGAATCATGATCTAGCCTTTTCACCTGATGGACGGCTAAGATTTAACTGGTGTATTAGTAACGTCCAATTGGAAATTTATAAACATAGTTTTGCTGTACTTACATTTTTGTTGACAATTTTATTTACATTCCATAATGTGAAACACGGTTTTTGCTATTGATTCAATAACACTTACAACAATAATCTTGATTTTGTCGCATCATAGAATGTCAAGCTAGTTGTACACAATGGATGTACAACTTTTTTTTTTTTTTGTTGACGTAAGAACCCGCAGTCGCTACCTTCTAACGGAGCCCCAACTACCCCAAAGGAGTGGAGACCCGATTACTGTGAGTGCGCACTAGGTAAATTCCGTTCCACGTGGGATGTACAACTATTTTAATTCTTACAATAATATTCTTTCAAGCTTTTTTTTTTTTTGTATTTTTATGTCTTTTTCTTTTAATAATTCTCTGATAGCAATGAAATGACAGGTTAAACGAGATGGCATCGAGTGGGTGTCTGTGTCACAGTCTTTTAGGAATATATTCAGAATTAAAAGGGACAATTGCATATAGGTCCTCAATTTATTGCTCTAGTAACAACCTGGTGATTATAGTTGCTTAAACTGTCTCCAAAATAAAGGAGTCTGTCTTGTTAGATTGTCACTTTTGAACATTTTCAACTTTTATAAATTGCATACATTTAGATGACTTTAATTGATTTGTCATTATAACTGTTATCTTAAGTATAAGATTTAAGATAGCAAATTAATTGATGATACATCATGAATAATCAGTAAACACTGCTTATGAATAGAAATATTTTTATAAATTTAGATTTCACTTTTCAACTTAGATGAGGGTCTAGAAATTTGAAATGAATCACGTTTTTTATGAACGCAATTTGACAATTTAATAAAAGTTTGTACTACACAACTATAGTGAAAATTGGTGACAAACTTGGTATCAAGCAATAAGTGACAATAATTAATGAATTTTTTACGTTGAAAACTTGTAGTTAGACGAAAATCCAATAAAAGATATTGGAAAAAGTTAAATATAATTTTCTATTTATTCAGAAGGGTGGCATACTTTTCAAGAGAGTATGGATACAAATTTGTGTTTGAAAGTAGCAATGATCGACAAAAAAAAAAAAGAAAATCAAATTTCGTATAAATTTGAAAAGAGTTCTATCTTCTATGTGCAAACACTTTTTTATCTGAATTATTTTTTTGTTCCTTGGGAAGGTTTCTTGTTATCCCCACTTTAAAACTAGAATCATGCACCTTTTACAGCTCAGCTCAGTGAATTTATTTACATTCACTCTTCAAATGGGATACGTTAGCTATAATACTGCACGTATCGATACACACCACCTAGCATCCATCGTAAACTATTCAAACTATTGGGTATCTAATCCCATTATGTGG